AACTTTTTTGAAATTAGTATCCACAGTGGTGCGTAATCAAAGATGACGTACCAAAAACTTAAACACAATTGCTGTTACACTGAGCCTGTCTTTTTGCTATGTGCAATCAACACAAACACACATGTGTCTGTTGTAGATGACTTGTGTTCTTTAATGCCCCTTTAAGGCCGTGTGTTTGCAAGGCCAATATAGGAAATCCTTCACGTCGTCATGCTGAACTATATTCCTGTTGTGAGAATGCAGTGCAAAGCAGCTGCCGATCATTTGAAGTCTAAGTCCAATGTCCTCGTGTATTCACCTTCATGTAGATAACCAGCCTCCAGAGTTCACTGGCTGCCCCATTCAGGGAGTCACCAATGACACAAGTCTGAGGAGTGATCGAGGAGTAGCGTGGTGGACCACACCACAACCTACAGATAATGTTGATGTCGCCAGTGTACAGTCAGACTACCAGCCAGGCAGTAGCTTCCCGTTGGGTCCGACTGTCGTCACCTATAATGCGACTGACACGGCGGGACTGATGGCCCAGTGTTCGTTCACAGTGCTGATCCAAGGTTGGTTTTTCGCATCTGTTCTCATGTCTAGAGCATTCCAAAAAACCGTTTTCCTTGAAATCAAGTGTAGCCAAAGCAAAGTGGCAGTGGGGCCTGTGCAAGTCTTTTTCACATTAAACATCCATCACTTGAAATGATTCTTTTAGGCTTTGATCTCATGTCTGAGAACTACATGACTCCTTGAAATGTTGGCGGGAAACCTATTCTTTGAACCGTCGACATTTCAAGTGAAAAGCACACTCGCATGAATGAAATAGGTGAAGGAGAAGGCTACACAGCTTTGATGTCAAGAATTATTTGCAAATTTGTATTACTGACAAGTGACCTGACATCTTATTTTTGTGTTTATGTTCACTTTTGGGTTGAGTGTGAGCCGGCATGGGTGGAAATCTCTCCTCAATCGTGGGGGGGGATATCAATTTACACTTTTTTTGTGCAAATCATTTTTATTATCTTAGGGAGCATTTCATAATTACAGAAGGCGGTATTTACTGCGGTACCGCTGTATTTTTGCGGTACCAGCATTAAGCCCTTTCGGGTAACTAGTGCGGTGCCGCTAAAAAACCAGCGGTACCGCAGTAAATACCGCCTTCAACAATTATGAAACGCTCCCTTATTCCATTTATTTAAACTCAAAAGGCAAAATCCTCAATCCATCAATTCCTTTAGTATTTTGTTTTCCTTAAAACATTGGAGGGGACATTTGACATTGTGTCTCCCCGTACTAAATTCATGGAGGGGACATGTCCCCCTTCCCCCCCCCTGCCGGATTTCCGTCCATGTGAGCCAGCACTTACAGTGATTCTGTACATCCAATTTGCTCGCAACTTACTTAGACAATGAGATGCCAGTAATTGAGTGCCCAGCACAAGTATCTGTCAGCACCTTCACCCATCAAGGGGGCACGAATGTAACTTACCCCACCGTCAATGCCACGGACTACGCCAGCGGCCTCAGTACGCTGAGCTGCAGCATGAATTCCGGCGCCTACTTCCCGATCGGCTCTAATAATGTCATCTGCACTGCCGAGGATCGGGCTAACAACATGAGAGTCTGCATCTTTGCCGTGATTGTGGTCGGTGAGTGTCACGTGTTGCTCACCTAATTATTTTTTAATTGCTTGTAAAAGCAATCATGCTGCATTTTTGTGTGAAGAGATCTGTTTATAAATGTACTCATGTTCAAGTGTCTGAAAGGGTCGCTTTCTATAATGGAAATCATAATGCCTTCAATTTTTTAGCATTTTTCCGAGTCCAAATCTCTTTCCATGATGCTGAATAGCGAAGTCCCTTCTAAACCTCATGGTAGGTTCTTCCTCAAGTGTGTTAAGGTCAATAAACTTACAAGCACCCATCAAAGTGCCTTGAATGCCAGTTCCTCCAGTACGGTGTGCGAGAACTTTCTACCAAAATGCTATTAACCATTCTGTTGGTAGGGATGGATGACAACGTGCCACCGGTGATTTCCAATTGCCCAGCCAACATGACCCACCCAGCTGACAACACGTCCACTGCGACAATCGTCAGCTGGACACCCCCGACGGCTTCCGATAACTCGGGAGACCCGGTCAACTTGATGATGAGTGCTGCTCCAGGGTCGGCATTTGAGATCGGGGTCACTGTGGTGACCTACACAGCAACTGATGGTGTGGGCCTCATAAGCACGTGTATCTTCAGCATCACCATACTTGGTGAGTTGTCAGACGTTCTCTTCAACCCGAACTCAAAATTGTTGATAGATACAGTCTTGAGTCTTAGCCTTCCTGGTTGGGCGTGCTTTAATCACACAAGTCTTTGCAAAACACTGGTGCCCAGGGCCTAGAGAACAGTGATGCCAAGTACCTACTGCAAACGTAATCTGGTTTTGCTTGCCTGGTGTCCATACCTAACTTGAATTGTGTTGTACTTGTACCATGTACAGGGTTCTTTCAACCCCTTGAAGATTCTATAGGAGGTACATTTCAAAGGAGATACATGTGTCTTATCTGAGTGCCTCCCCATAGCTTATCCTTAGCTAGTGATATAGGTTTGTGTGTGGAACAAATTCTCTCTGTGGAAATCTGAGACTGTGTTGCTGTCTGTGTCATTAGATTTGTCATCGCCAGTCATCCTACAGTGTCCAGGGAACATCACTCAGCCTACCGACCCATCCATGGACTCGGCTGTGGTGGACTGGGCCTCTCCTGGGGCTGTCGATAACTCAGGCACTGTCACGTTGATGGCTAGCACCACCCCGGGGTCTGAGTTCCCCATTGGAGTGACCACTGTCGTCTACACGGCTACCGACTTGGATAACAACGTGGAGCGGTGCAGTTTCCAGATTAACATCACAGGTAGGGTTTCCTTTCCATACTGCTTACTCCGAGTGTGCCTCCCACTGATCTAGGGGACAAGGTCAGTGAGCCACAGGGCAAAGAAAGAAATATTTGCTCAGGGAAAGCAGGCCATCAACTGAAATGCAAAATGCTGTGCAGTGCTCGAGAAATGGGTTCCTGTTAGTCACTTGGGTTCCTGTCGGAACCCTAGTTGGTCATATGGGTTCCTGTCGGAAACTTGCTTCGAAGCAGTGCCTTAAATATTGGATGTGCCGGGGACGGATCTAAAGACCGTCTTGTGCTTATGTTTGTATGGTGTGCTGTTCCACTTTCAAATTCCGTCGGAAATGGTTTGGTCACTCATCAGATGAGGAGGATCCCGTGATCACCGGATGCCCCTCCGTCCAGCTGGAGCGGGAGACTGAAACTGGCCAGAACTACTCACTGGTGATGTGGGACGAAATAACCGTCCATGATAACAGTGGTAATTGGACCGTAGACACTAGTGGGCCATCCCAGGGCAGGATTAGCGTCGGTGTGCATCAGGTCAGCTATGTTGCTACTGACCTATCCGGTAACCTTGCAGAATGCAGCTTCTCCATACGAGTTTCAGGTTGGTATACTCTGAAGAACCTTGAACATTCTCCAGCCAACAAAAGTAGCTTGGCAGCCCAACGACTTTTTATCATTTGCCACCCCGTTTAAAATGTTGACACCAAACTCAAAATCAGGGCACCAAGTTTAAAATCTTGGCTACTACATTTGCATTGTTAATTACATGTATATCGTCTTTAAACAACCTTATATTATTTAAAAAAGAGCTGTCTAGATATGTAGAAAATTGTCCCCAGTTTTTACGGAGAAAAAATCTACCTGTAACATGCCAAAAGCTGGAACTTGTAGAAACACTGATAACCATTTCTGTTAAAAACTGAGTTGGGAGTTACAACCGCCTTCTGCTATTTCTGTTTCAGACACGGAGCTTCCACAATTCACCAACTGTCCCACGGCGATCATCAAGCTGGTGAATCAGAGCGGGCTTAGCGCCGTCGTGACCTGGGATCCGTTGGTGATCACCGACAACGTGGGGGTGGACTTGGCAACCCTGATGGGGAGCCACAACTCGGGCGACACGTTCACCTTCGGTGGTCCCACAACAGTCATGTACAATGTTACTGATGTCAGTGGCAACACAAACATCTGCAGGTTCACTGTCACAGTCTCAGGTAAAAGAGACATGAAATCTGTGATTGGTTTTTTTTTCTGTTGGCACCAACAGAAGCAGACGTGCTTGAAAATGTTGGTCAGAGATGATACTCTTCAAGTAATTCACTAACTTTCATCCCTTTTATTGCTTTGTTCGCGTGGGAAAAGACCCTCATGCCATCGTCAATTTGTATGACACTTAGAGGTATTTAATTTGATTTTAACCTCCCTTCAAGTACATGTATATAATCTCCTGTCTTACACAGCGATGAATGGTTTTTTTATGCTTTTCACTTACTCATTCCTGTTCTGACTTTCTCTCTGCTTAGATGCCCCTGCAGCCCTCAGTAACTGCCCCGTCTACATCCAACGGCCAACCGATCCGGGACAAGCCTCAGCCGTAGTCACATGGGATAGTCCCGATGTGGAGCCAGTCGGTGCCTCAGTTGACATCAGTTCAACCCCTTATGCCTCAGGCGACACCATCCCCCTGGGCAGATACAATATCACTCACCAGGCCACTATTAATAGAGATTTTCTCAATATCCAGGAGTGCTTCTTTGTGGTTGAAGTAATTGGTAAGGAGCCATCAGTAGTTATAGAATTGGGTCAATTCTGTCTAGGTGATGTATGGTAGGACGGCGTCCAAATCAAATTTGTCTTATCATTGTAGATGTCAGGAATAATTGGAATCAGTCCCTCTGCATTTGTCAACATTTCTACGGCATTATCTCTTCTTTTTTTGGCAAGAGGTGACCAGTTTTACAGTTTATATTGCCACCTGTTTCGATCTCCACTAAATGTTCTGAATTCCAATCTTCACAGACAATGAGCCTCCAACTTGGATTGTGTGTCCAACCGGTGAGTCCGTCAACCCGTCCGCTGGGTCAGACACTGCCCCCGTTTTCTGGGCCCAGCCCGAAGCCCAGGACAACTCAGGCAGCGTGAACGTCTCTCCTGGATCGCACGTCAACGGTAGCCAATTCCCAGTCGGCCTGACGACCGTGACCTACAATGCCTCTGATGATGCGGGCCACGTCATCACCTGTTCCTTTGTAGTCACAGTGCAGGGTAGGTTTACCAGTCATAGGACAGTGGCAAGACAACAACATTGCATAAAATAAAACGGCACAATGTGGATCACATCAGAGGGATTACAGAAAGCCCAGTTGCTTTACAGTAAGGATAAGATTTCAGCTTGTTTCTGAGGCAAAACCTGAACAGTCTAAATTATCAGGGTATGGTCCATACTTTCTGTAGTAAAATTTTTACCTGTTTTTGAGGGAGAAGGTCAACATTATTTTACCTTGCTGCACAGTTGGCCTGTGTGTCCAAGCTGAAGAGAACACCAGATGAGCTTAAATTTTGCTAACCTAGCCTGTGTTTTCTACTTTAGATGTGTTAAAACCTAACGTGACATGCCCGGACAGTTTCTCCCTGAATACCGATCCTAATAAGGGAACTGCTACGATGACCTGGATGGACGCTCAGGCCAGCGACAATGTGGCAGTCACCTCGCTGGTATCCAGCCCCGCCAATGGTAGTCCTCTCCCAGTCGGGCTAAACACGATCACCTACACGGCGACTGATGCAGCACAGAACACCATCACTTGCTCGTTCAACATCACTGTCATCGGTTAGTTTCCCATTCGTTTCTCCACCCGCTGATTCCCAGTACAAAAACCTGCCATCAGCACTCTGCATTCGATGAAGTCATAGATAGACATAGATATTCACTAGACCAAGTTTAACTCTATTAATACACCTCATGTGGTTTTGCACATCTGACACGGCTATCGGGATTTTAATGTTTAACTACACGTTCGCAAAATGAAATCCTCGCACCTAGAATTCACTTCTAGGATTGACTCCCAACAATCTGGAATGCTTGGCATGATCCCGGATTGCTGGATATTAATTCGGGGCACAAGTTTGGAGGAGGGGAAAAATGAGACTTGATTTTGACCATCTACCACTGGAATGGACAATCCATTCCTCCATGTTTAACAGTCACGTTGTGCTGTTACGTGGGTTCAAGAAAGGTGAACTGCCTATAATAAACAGAACACAGTATTTGGATTGCCAAGTTTAGTTTTACTGCACAGCTCTTTTTGTAGGATCGGCTTTGATCATTCAGAATGTACTTTGCATCGGGGAGTTGTTAATTTTAACTATGAGTTTTGCACTTATGCAACGTATATTCATAAACACTGTATACTGAGTGCTTGTCCAAGAGCTTGTGAAAAAATTCACATGCTTTGGACATGTCAGCTGACCTTCCCAAGCTCGGTGGTTGAGTGTTTAAGATGTCTGCACTAGTAAGCAGGAGGTTGCGGATGGTAGTCCCACCCAAGTAAGCTTGTGAATTTTTTCACAAGCCCTCAGATAAGAGTATACAGTGTTAAGGAATATATGTCAGGTAGGGGGTAAATCCAAAATTAAGATTATTCAGAAGCTTGAAAGCATACTGAGTGATCTGTTATTCTGATTTTTGTAGTTTTCCTCTGGTAAGTACATGTAACATGGTTGTGTTCTTATGTCTGCCGCCCTCCAGACAATGAGCCCCCACGTTTCTCCAACTGTCCGGCCATGGCATCTGCTGTCGCTGCCACCGACCAAGACATGGCAACCGTCACCTGGGATCTCCCCTCTGCTTCCGACAATGCCATCACCGTTACCGTAGAGGCCTCCCACTCGTCCGCCGTCCTGTATCCCCTTGGGGTAACCCCTGTGGTCTACTTGGCAACCGACGGATCCGGCAACAGGGCCAACTGCACATTTGATGTGACAGTCACAGGTAGGTCAGAAAGGACACCAACTGCTCATCAATCACCAGTTATGATGCGCAGTTTGGCAAGACACAAGAAGCATGAATGATCGGCTTTCGACATATATTTGTTGCTGTTTAAGCACTTTCTGTTTAAGCACAACATTAAAGGAAGCAGCGACCAATTTGAAAGAAAGTGTATTGAATGTGTCAACACAAAATAATGGACGCAAACTGTGTTTTGGACGGCACACCCAACCATTCGTCATATTTGCATTGATGACTTGGCCTTGTCACAGATGCACAGGACCCGGTCTTCACAAACTGTCCCGGCAATCTCTCTGCAAACACCGCCATGGATCAGGCTATCGCCACTGGGGTAATCTGGACTCCACCCACGGCCAGTGACAACGACCCACTTCTCCAGACCACAAATAACTATGATCCACCCGCCAACTTCTCTATTGGAGTCCACATAGTCAACTATACTGCTGTAGACAGGGCTAATAACAAGGCAACCTGTATATTCACCGTCACAGTCACTGGTAAGGATAGATGTTCATCGCTGGTTGTTGCCCTTCCACCAAATATCAGATACAGTTGTGATCTAGGGGACCACTTGGGCTGTTAGCTATATTGTATTATCAAGGGTTTTCTCAAATTATCTTCTTTTAACAGAGAATAAATCAATACAGCAATGAACTAAGAAAACAAAGCCTCAGGTTTCCATTAACCTTCACCCATTTTTTCGGCGTCAGTTTCAATGAGATGTCAAAAAGTTTGACTCATTTCATCAAGATCAGACCTCGCACCTCTGTGCACTTGTCGATTTTTACCTTCCCCTCCCAATGACGAATTCTTGCACAGACATGCAGGATCCTGTCTACACGGGCTGCCCGGCAAGTTTCAGTATTCCGGCCCAAGTTGGAACCACAATGGCCAATGTGTCCTGGGTGGAGCCATCGGCCAGTGACAACGTGGCCGTCAACAGCTCTGTTTCTAACGTCTCCCCGAACACGATCTTTGACTTTGGGGTGACGACTGTGGAATACACGGCACAAGACCAGGCTGGGAATATCGGGAAATGCACCTTCAATGTCACCGTCCTAGGTAAGTTGATATCCTTTACTACCAACTGTAGAGAGCTTGGACGCTCGCAATGTCACATCCAGTGATGAATGTTTTTCTTTTGATGGGCTTCCAGGGATCTTGTGTAGGACTTGACTGCTTCACTGCCCCTCAGCCAGCCATGCCAGTCTATCCAATAGTATTTAGTTTTCTAAATAGGCTTCAGAGTGTAATGCAGTTGTGCACTCTCGACAGTTTACATTAAATAATGGCACAATGTTGGAGTTGCTCAAATATTTCTTCATTTGTTCGACTTCTGAGTTACAGTTTTAAATCTCTTATCTTTTGTGTCAGATTCCACAGCCCCCATGCTCGTCAACTGTCCGTCAGATCAGGTGTTTTGCGCCAATTTAGGGACTCTGTCTCGAAACGTCAGCTGGAATGAGCCCACAGCCACAGACAACGAGGGCGCTGTCACACTCGTCAGCGATCACACACCAGGCAGTACCTTCAATCACAATGATGGTACCCCGACACCGGTAACCTACACAGCCACCGATGAGTCTGGTCTTCAGGCATCTTGCACCTTCAACGTCATCATAAGGGGTGCGTCCAAAAGATTTATTCATTTATTCACTGTTAATGAGCTCCTGTCTCTGACAGTCGTCCACCATTGCTTGTGCTTCCAACCAGAAAAACTTATCCTTCAGGAAGTTTGCTTGGATCTTTCTTCGTGTTTATTGATCCCATTTGTTGGACCTGTGCTTTGCTATTTTATCCAAAGGACCTGACCTGAATGAATAGATTTTTCATTCCCAACGCAGCTGCAAATCAAGCCCAGAAAGCAATGTGTTAACCCACAACCACAAGAATAATTATGCCACTTGCTCTAACACTAAGCAAGTTGTCTGAGACCCAAGGAAAACCACAGACTCTCAGTTCATTTTATAATAGGGGATAAGATAGTCAGGTGCTTTTAGCAGTACATCTACTGCCGTGGTGCTCCCGTGTACATGCGAAATATTTTACCCTTAACTTTCGATATTTTGCATATAAATTACCTGCTTTACCCAATCTACTGATAATCTGGTGAGGCCTGTGCTGGGTACCTGGGTACCTGCACAGGACCAATTATCGATATTAATGCCCCTTTTTTTCGGGCTGGGTACCCGTAAAAACTCCATGCGTAAAATGTATGTGAACTTTAAAATTGAAGAGTAGAATTGCTAAAAATTTATTGTGCCACTGAAAAACCGGATGCCATGGTCATAATTTCGTTTCAGAGATCGACGGAGCTACTTTTGTTTTCTTTTTAAAGGTGACATTTCATGTTTTTTTGGTCTCCGCATATCAGACTGTGAAGATCCAGTCTTCACTGACTGCCCATCAGGCTTCGTGGAGCCGGGCGACTCGGGTGGGAGCAGCACGTCTGTCCAATGGACCGAGCCAACCGCCACAGACAACAGTGGTCAGGTTGATGTGAACAGAACCCACATTCCTGGAAGCATATTCACCGTCGACACTTCACCAGTGTTTGTACAGTACACGGCTGTCGACAGATCTGGGAATAGTAACACCTGCACCTTCACGGTCGTTGTAACTGGTGAGTTCATATTTTTATTTTTTTTCATTTGAAGAAATAAATTTAGTAAATAAATAGATAAATGAGAAATGCACAATAAATACAATGATTGTGTATGCCGTCCCTAAAAAGTTGGAGAAGGGCATAGAGTCAGCTGAACAAGAATCGCATTACATTCTTCTGTTGTCTGCATCCCTTTGGTTATTCACCCCTTCCGTTCCTTAGTGACTGCATCATTACATGCCCACTCTACTGACGATGAACATCTGTTCACTAACTTGGCCAACGTTTTGCTTCCGGTTCCAACATTGCCACGTCCTGTGTCTGGGCATGATTGAGGATTGCCTCAATGCCACTCTGGCAAACCGGGAACATGCTCAATTGCATGATACTTTTCACACGTATGCACAGACGTATACTGGATATGCCAATACTGGCATCCATATGGCATTTTTCTCGGAACGTTCCCCGGATTGAGCATCTCTGCGGCACATCATGGCAGGGCACCAGTCATTTGTCAGTGGGCAAATTAAAGTTTGAAGTCCCTGGTCCTGCTCAGTTCTCTGTTCTCCCTGCAGACAACACCCCACCGGTCATCAGAAACTGTCCCTCCAACAATACCATCTTAACTGACTCCAATTCCAACACCGGATCGGCCTCTTGGACGCCACCCACTGTGGACAGCACGCCAACGGACCCTGTGACTCTGATGCCAAGCCACGAGCCGGGGGCCTCCTTCCCCATTGGAACCCACAGCGTTACCTACACCGCCAGGGATGCCAATGGAAATGAAGCTACCTGTATATTCTGGATAACTGTCAGAGGTACGCCAGTATTCTTTTTTCTGTGAGAATTTTTCCAGGTTTGCCATTGTCGCCATTTGCACAAGAGGTTTACTGTTTTAATAGTGGGTAGAGATGGTAGAACCAACATCCATGCTGTGTCCTCCATGTCTGACCATGTTTGTAAATCTTCCAAACAGGAAGAGATTAAATACAAACACGGTGATGAATTTCAGTTGGTTCTAGTTGGTTCATTTAATTGGGTTCGTGCTCCTTCCCCATCGTTGTCATTGGTGAGATGAGGCAAAAAAAGGTTTATAACCTCTCCCTCCGGAAATAAATTTGACTTGCAAACCAGGCCCGGCTGTAGAGCCAATTGTTTTGTTTTTGTTTGCTTGAGGAGGGGCTGTACTCTTTGTAACTGATGTCACCTTTAAACTTTCGCTACTGCTTTTTTACTTTGGGAGCCAAAGAAAGAATTTAATGAATTAATGGATTTAATGGGTGTTGCCTGTGTATTGTGCACAATGACCCCGAAAATGGTCATGGATTGTTAGTTTAATTTTGATTTGAACTGTAAATCAAACTTGACAGTCCGTGTAGAGAGAAGAATTTCTGCTCTTATCAAGCTCTGTAGACTTGGCTTATCACCTCTTTGGAATGGCATGTAAAGCTGTAGAAGCTGAAGAAGACTGGGAACATGACTCCTGCCATTTGAAACGATTTGATTGGCCCATTTTATTTGATTTGAGCCACTAGTTTTCTTGCATTACTCTCGCCTTGTTCAAGTCTCTTTATTCAGTTGACTGTTCTTTGCTTTTTCCATCTGACAACTCAGATGGCCAGAACCCTACCTTGACCAACTGCCCAGAGAGTTTCACGCTCACAGTGGCGCAAGCCGCAGATCAGGTCATTGCTGATTGGACGCCACCCACTGCCTCTGACAACTCGGGCAGTGTGACCCTGACAACGACCTTTGAGCCTGGCCAGTTACTGGGACCTGGTCAATATCCAGTGGTGTATACTGCAATGGACTCTGCTGGCCTAACGGCCACCTGCATGTTCACCGTCACCATACAAATTGGTAAGATACATGTTAATCAAGCTTGATATTGAAATCTGTCATTGCTCATCATTCCTAAGGTTAGTCATTTCTGTTCAGAAGCCTTGGCAAATTCAAAATCAGCCCAGGGTTGGTTGAACCACTTTGTGCGGGGGTGCCGGTAATGGAGACCTTAGGTTTGTACACATAGCCGGGTGCCTGAAATCGGACAAAGGAGCTGAGCCTTGTAACAAAAGGCTAGGCTGCTGGGAATTGCCAACATTTTTTTTAGTTGTCAATAGTGGAGGTAATCCGTCATTGTTTTGAAACAGTATATCACTATTTGTAGCATTCAGTACAAGTGGATTACGACTGCATGGGGACAAAAGCACTTCAGCGATGAGCGATACAGTACCGCTAATCTGGCCACGTTTGAAAAGATGCCAGCAGCGCACTGGGCCAGTTTCGGGAACAAAAGAAAATTATGCAACACCACACAATCTGGGCTCTCTTTACAAGGCGACAGGCCTGGCTGAAATACTCCGGCATCAACGGATGTTCCTGTCAGATTAGAGTAGCCACCAGACAGGCATACACGTGTGTGTAAACGTCCAGTAAATTAAGTTATGAATTTTTGAAGAATTTTGAAATGGAAAATCTTGAAAATCCCCCAGGAACTTGTCATGCAACTTCATTGGATAAGGTTAACCTTTCAGCCATAAAGCTAACTCTTTGTGCTAGTAAATTGAGAACTATATTTATATGAGCCACTCTGCCAAACAAAATTTGCTGAATTTAGAGTCAAATTTTGAGGAAATACCTTTGGGAAAATGCTCAGGGGTTTCAGCTTGAAGTCCCCAATTTTGATGGGGGAGACCAGAAGTTTCTGCTGTCTTTTAGGCAGTATCTTATTCTGAGCAGCTGGTTACAATCCCCATGTTGCAACCATTGACACGCCGGACAATGAAGGCATAGCAAAGTTCCATTTGTCTGCAGAGTCAAATGCATTAGGAGGAACAGGATGTTTCTGTTGGCCTGGTGATTCTACCAGCAAAAGCAAGTCACAAAATTACATCTCCCAGTCCACTGCATACCCACTTCTGTGTTGCACCTCAAGGATCTGTTTCCATCTCACTCAGCTGTAGCGCCTCGTAGAACTTGACGCTCAATGTTCCATTTTGGTTTACAGACATTGGATGTAACCCTAGTCCCTGCAACAACGGCGGCACATGCACGCCAGTGGGTAGTGATGGTTTCACCTGTTCATGTACACGATTCTGGATGGGTACCACCTGTGATGAAGGTGAGACTGTACATACACGGACGGAATGTTCTGTGGGAGAGTTGTGTCTTATCCTGCTGTGTTTGGCACCCTGTGGCTTACCCATAAGAGACCGAGCACGATTCCCATGTGCACCGTTTACACCTATACACAATTAGATTTCCACCCCATGTTACACCCAGCTGTGATAAGGCGATTTTACCATCTTGCCGTTTTTTTTTGGGGGGGGGATTAAGAAACCTAGGGTACACTTTTGCATTTGAGCCACGAGATCAGTGGTGTGACTGTAGGGTGTCTCAGAGGAGACACCTTTTGGAGTCATATGCATAGGAAATTGAAATATTCAACTTGGGATTTGCATCTCCTTGTGCGCCCCTCCCCGGTCTAGTAAGTTTCACCGGAATTTTCTTGGAATGGATTGCCGTTTATTATGTTTGTGACCACCAGATGTCAACGAATGCACGTCGACCTCTGTGATTGCTGAGTGTTCTGCGAGGGGATTGGTCTGCGTCAACAAGTTGGATCCTGTCGGCTACTCCTGTGAATGCCCCAACGGCTTTGTCAGAGTCGGAAACACTGACAACTGTAGACGTAAGATACCTCTCCATGTTAATTGCTTCTCTGACATGGTTCCTCTGAAATGTCCTTCACCAGTGGCCTCAGAGACTCGCTAGCTTGCAGGATATCTTTGCAAAAATGGTTTGCACTTTGTAGAATTCAAACCAAAAAATCTTGCATGGTTCTCATGACAAATGCGTGTGCGTGAGTTGTGAGGTCCTTACAGAAAACCAAGGTCTGAATGTCACTACCTCCAGGAGTCATCCCAGCACATTCCCCACTCCAACTCCTGGATTAATTTCGTGGCCTCGGTGACTTCAAAGTTTTACTGCTGTTTACTTTACAGAGGGCAGACGTTTCCGCATTGTCATCTTCATCATTGAAATCAACGGGATTGTGGCTGTCTTTGTCACAGACCTTAACAACAGAAATTCTGTAATCTTCCTGATTCGACAAAGAGACCTTGAAGCCTTGGTAAGATAGTAACTTTATTGGGAATGGTTAGATGCATTTTTTCTGATCTATTAATAATTAGTTGGATGGTTTGTTTGTAGCCTCCTGGACGATATTTTTTCACAGAAAAAAAGGTTATTTGAAGGTTTACAAGCAAAAAAGTTGTGGGAAGGATTAGATTCAGTTTTACGGGGGGGGCTAAATAAATATTGTCTAGCCCCTCCAAAAATGAAAATAAAAAATAGGCAGGAAAAAATTGGATTCACTGTAGCAAAAGTTATAGGGGACATCATACCCGGAGGGGTCCAGCCTACCCCAAATTTTGGCTCTAGAACCGCACTGGGAAAGCATATGTTTGCTGGTGTGTTATGTGCGGCATTGGTGCACTTGGTCTCAGACACCATGAAAGTCTTCACAACATTACAGCCCCTTCTAGGTCATCTTGAGATGCAACTTAGGAAGCAGCGTGAATGTGACACCCCTCAGCCCATTGGTGTTGGTGGTATTAGCTTAAACACCAACATTTGCTGAATTAAAGATGGAGTAAACAGTTGCTTCATTTCTAGGTCACCAAGTCTTGGCGCCGTTGGTCCCCATGGTAAATAATAAAACAGTATTCAACTCCAGTTAAGCCCTTTTGGAGACACCTTGAGCCAAGATTTGGGCTACACTTCAAAAAGAGTTCCGCAAATGAATGCACTCTGTGTCTACTTGAAAATCAGTTATCTCTTCTAATTGAGAAGATCTGAATTTTTGATTACAGTTTGACCAGGTGTTTGGTGGCCTGCCTGGCTTCGGCAATTCTGTTGTCCTTTTCTTTGGTACCGGCAGCATTGCGGTCAACGCTTTGATTACATTTGATCCCGACTCAACGGTAACTCAAACTGATGTAAATAACGCCTTGCAGCAAGCAATCAACTCAAATGATCTGCTCATGGGATCTATATACAAGGTCACTCCCTCTGCGTCTCAAGTCATCGAAGGTAATTCATGTCAAACAGCAGCTCAAAGCAAATATTCATTGCATTGTAAAGAAACCGTGATACCAAAAGTATATAGGCCTACCATTACCTACAAAGATTGCCCCTTGTTATTAGCCCGCTTCTGACAAGTTATACCCTTATCCATTTCAGTCAAGTCAAACTAGTCTTGTACAGCACTCCAGGGCATACATGTGAACACACCTGTCCTTACTTTTCTATCCAAAGGAATTGTAGGACATTATCTGGGTCCAGAACTTCAGCACCTGGATTCTTCAAGCAGATTAGATTTGGCAGCCGAAGCATTAGAAAAAAAAACACCAGTTTTGATCTCACAGATCCATGGAAGCTTCAAATGTACTCTTTTTCTTGTGCATAAACTGAATACCCAACTGTATGTTTTTATTTCTCCATCCCGAGTAGGGGACTGCAAAAAGATGAACGATGGGCAAACTCATTGTGGGCGGAAATGTCCATGCAGTGTCACATGTGATCTAATGTAACATTCTTTGTGAACCGACAGAGGTTTGTCTTGACGGCTACTGCCAGAATGGAGGAACTTGTGTACCTGACACTGTTACCTTCCTCAGCTCTTGCACGTAAGTGTTTTTTTTTGGGGTGGGGCAGGTCAGTGAGCAGGTGTTAGCCCACATATTCAGGTGTGAATTTTGGCGACCAGACTTTTTGTGACAAAAAACGGCCCCCTCAAAAGATGAAGCCAAGAAAAAGAAATAAAAAAGCACTTGACTGAAGTTTGAAATTTCCTTGTTAGTGTTCACTTTGGCATTGTTCAGACTAATAAGAAATGCCACAAACTGGAAGGCCTATTCAAATATAAAAGAAGTGGAAAAGAGCAAATGATCAAAACGGAAAATATTTCAGGGCCTTTCTTCCAGCACAGTCAGCAACGTGCGATTTGCTGTGGACATCTAGATTTTGTCCCAATTGTTGGGGCCACTTTATGCTCATTCCAAGAAGAAAACTCCGCAAGGACTGAGGTTTGAACTGCAAATTTGAGGCAAATATTGTGCTGTATTTTCCCAATCACCTTCTTACAAAACTGGACTAAATGCTTTTTTTTCTGGTTAACAGAACCATGATTTTAAAATGCATTTGTATCCGCCTTAAAACGGAGCTGACTTCCGTGTCCTGTTTTGGAATATTGAAACAGGAGCGCTTTAACCCACATTAATGCAGGTTTTTGGTAAAATATGTCACGGGGTGCATCCAAAGAGCATGCTCTATTTAAATTCCTAAAACAATTTCAGCGATATGTAAAAGCAGTGTCTGTATTTTGTGTCTACACACACACCCTCGTTTTTATCAAATGGAAAATTCGTGTTCATAATGAAGCCGTGATGACTGAGCCTTTTTTTATTTTGCAGATGCCATTCAGGATATGTCGGCAACAGATGTGAGAGCGAAGTTATAGGTAAGTAGACAATCTCTGTATTGCTGCCCGTTCCATGAAATGTGGTGCAGCCTCACACCATGCAGAAGCCTTATGCCACAAATCTGAGCACGGATATGGCATGTGGTTATGGTCGATTTAACAAAAGTAGCTTGGTTGCGAAGTGTTTCATTACAATTACGCTTTTGTAATGGTTCCTTGTCAATTTCACAATAAATCGTCAACAAATTAACTTCATCAGTTTTTCTGAACATGTTTCTGTCTTGTTGTTGCCAAAACTGTGCAGAAAATCTCAAAGTATTCTCACCGTCAAACATGTTTTCCATCACCCTGTAAGAACCCAGACTTTAAATTTCTCATATAAAGCCTGTTGAGCTGAGCAGTGATCAGCCTCAACCTAGCCTTCAGTGAAAGCGCACATGGCAGCGGGCACCCTGGATGCTTGGCTGATAACACAAACTTGAAAAAACCAGGAGGGAAGTGGCAAAAGCAGCCAATGTGCATGTCCTGTGTCAGTCCACGTAGCCACGTGCGTCTTGAGTAAAGGCTAGCCTCAACCAAACAGGATAACTCAGTTTATCATTCATATTTGATTTGTTTGGCGCGACTTAAGCCACCTAAAAAGATTGCACAAGTTACACCACAATTTGTTGAGCAATTAAGTCATGGACTTACGTTGTGCATAATTTCTGCGAGATGTGTCAAAATTTGTTGCACAACTTACACGATAGAATTTGGCACAAGTGAAGTGACAGCAATGGACCAAGGTTCTTGAAATTGGCTGCCAGGATTGCAGTGCCCCTATTTCACTGCAATTGGGCACCTATCCAAAACACTGCTGTCATATAGTCCATTACATCTGCATTTGCCTCCTTAGCAACTGGTCACAGAATCCAAAAAGGTATATCACCCCTCTGGCAAATTTCACCCGAATTTTCTTGGAGTGAATTGTCCTTTTTTGTGTTTATGACCATCAGATGTTAACAATTGCACGTCGACCTCTGTGATTGCCGAGTGTTCTGCGAGGGGATTGGTCTGTGTCAACAAGTTGGATCCTGTCGGCTACTCCTGTGAATGCCCCAACGGCTTTGTCAGAGTCGGAAACACTGACAACTGTAGACGTAAGATACCTCTCCATGTTAATTGCTTCTCTGACATGGATCCTATGAAAGGTCTTCAAGGACTCATTGGCTTGCAGGATATATTGGAAAAAATGACCCTTGGTGTAAATTTTAGTTGGAACATATTTTGAGCAACTTTCTACTCCTCTTAAGTATTAGAAAACTCTCGGCCATCACGTTTCTTGTAACTCTCACTGAAAGATGAACTTTTTTAACTCCTAAGCAAAAAGTCTTGCGTGGTTCTCATGACAAATGAGTGTGTGTCAATTGTGAGGTCATTACAGAAAGCCAAGGTCTTCATGTCACTACATCCAGGAGTCATCCTTCAGCATTATCCTAGCAACGTTCCCCTCTACTCCTAGGGTAAAATTTGTGGCCTCGGTGACTTCAAAGTTTTGCTGCTGTTTACTTTACAGAGGGCAGACGTTTCCGCATCGTCCTTGTCATCGTTGAGATCAACGAGACTACGGCTGTCTTTCTCACAATCCTTAACAACAGAAATTCTGTAATCTTCCTGACTCGACAAAGAGACCTTGAAGACTTGGTAAGTTAGTATCTTCATAGGGGGGCAGGGTTCGGATGCATTTTTCTCTCCATGATGTACTAATAACTGTATGGGTGGTTTGTCTGCTGACTCCTGGATGCCGTCTATTCAGAGAGAAATGGGCTGACAAGCGGAAAAATATTGGAAAGGATGTGTTTTCTGCTGTACTGTTTGCGGCTTGGGTACTTGCAGTCTCGAGCACCATGAAAGTCATTCCAGTGTTACAGCATCTTCAAGATCATCTCGTAGTGCAACTTATGAAGCCGTATGAATTCATCACCTTTTATCCCATTGGTGTTTTTGAAACAGTTGCTCCATTTTCAGTTCACCGAATGTCGGCGCTGTTGCTTCCTATTATTCAATGGTAAAACAGTATTCAACGTCACTAGACCGATTGCGCCCACTAAATCATGCCACCTATTGTGGGTATTGTACTTGTTGACATTTAATAACCACTAGAGGTAATTTGACTCAGTGAAGCAATTGGTCTATTGTGTCCTCTTGCAGACACCTCGAGCCAGGCCAAGGTTGAAAAAGTTAAAATACTCAACAGAAAAAGTTACCCACTCTGATGAATGCACTCTGTATTACTTGAAAAAAATGATTAATCTTGTCTCCTAAAAATTTTTGGAATTTTGATTACAGTTTAATCAGGCGTTTGGTGGCCTGCCTGGCTTCAGCAATTCCATCGTCCTTTCCTTCAATTCGGGCAGCATTGTGGTCAACGCTTTGATTACATTTGATCTCGACTCAACGGTAACTCAAACTGATGTAAATAACGCCTTGCAGCAAGCAATCGACTCAAATGATCTGCTCATGGGATCTATATACAAGGTCACTCCCTCTGCGTCTCAAGTCATCGAAGGTAATTCATGTCAAACAGCAGCTCAAAGCAAATATTCATTGCATTGTAGAGGAACCATGATACCGGAAGTATTTACCAAAAAAGGATTGCCCATTGTTACCACCGTACTTCTGGTAAAAAACTAGTCCGGTACAGCACGTTGGGGCACAAGGCTTACTTGTGAACACACCATTCTTTCTTCTTTTGTCCAAAGGAATTGTAGGACATTGTCTCTGTCTAAAACTTTCGCACCTGGATTCTGTGTGCAGATTTGATGTGGCAATCGTAGCATGAAGGCTGGTTCCCATTGCAGGCGAATGTGACAATGAAGTGAATTTGACTTCGCGAAAGACTTTTAGCGAAATTTCGCTTGGGTTGAAATTTGTTTAAATTTTACGAATTTGCAGTGTGAATGTTTGATTTCATGTCACAAATTCGGGTTCATTTTCACTTTCAATTGAAGTATGAACCACTCTTTCCCAAAAGAGTGTTGACCTGACAGTCTCATTAAAGAAATGAAAGTGCACTCTTTCTCGTGTGCATAAAATGAATACCCAACTGTATGCTTTGTTCCACCATCTTAAGTAGGGGACTTTAACCTAACCTTCCCCAACCACGCAGAATTAAACAGTAGTAAAGCGTTTAATTCTGTGGGGATAAGTCTGGTCGGCCCATAACAGCTGGCTTTTGCATTGGGTTTGGCATACCTCAGAAAAACAAAGTCCAACAGCCTCTGTTCACAAAGTCCCATATGGGTGTTTAGCTTTGTGTGAATGGGGAAGGTTAGGGCCAGCAACCCTTGGGGGGTTAGGGTTAATAAAATGCCAGATGGGCAAACTCATTGTGGGCGGAAATGTCCATGCAGTGTCACGTGTGATCTAATGTAACATTCTTTGTGAACCGACAGAGGTTTGTCTTGACGGCTACTGCCAGAACGGAGGAACCTGTGTACCTGACACTGTTACCTTCCTCAGCTCTTGCATGTAAGTGTTTCTTGTCAACACACTCAATCATTTTTGTCGCGTGGAAAAATCCTGCTCAACTAAAGCAATGATGGCTGTGACTGTCTTCTATTTTTCAGATGCCCCTCGGGATACGTCGGCAACAGATGTGAGAGTGGCGACGTTACAACAAGTAAGAAGACAGTCTCACTAAAATTAATTTCAATTGTATCATCTAAGTACTTTGATAGGCCACAGATACAGCAAGTGAAGTTATCCCAATTTTGTCCAAAATGTCTCATTGAAGGCACCTGTCAAGCGCACTGCAGACAACCCCTTGCGTTTTGAAATTGCAAAATGCTATTTCATTTCAGAGAAAATCGGTTTAAAAAAAAGGAACTTCAAGAGGCAGTGGCTTGGAACAGCCTACTGTGCAACTGTATTGTGTACTCTGTGAAGAAAACGAATCCCAAATGAAGGAAAATACCAAGATTCAATAGTCGGAGAGTTTTGTCTCACATGCTAGGATTTGTTTTTAACAGCCCCTCCACCCAGCGGTGACGGACTCTCCACCGAAGTAATCATTGCCATTGCTGTGGGCACTGCCTTGGCTCTCCTGCTCTTGCTGTTGATAGTCTTTTGCCTCTGCTTCCTCATGAAGCAAGAACGGAAACGAGCGACGACAGGCTACCTGTATGCAGAGGACCATGAGGGTCAGCGAGGCCCTACACAGTACAACGGCTCCTTGTACGATGTACAGTTTGGCCCAAAAGATGTAAGTGCCATGTCTAGACTTTGCCAATTGGAGAAGTTCTCTGGGACGTACTGGATTGACAGGGTCTCACACGGCTGGCTTAAGTAGTCGGATTATACCCGACTATCTCTCTGGGCCCATTTAAGAATGGGCCAATTTGCTGTTGCATTAATCCACATGCGTGTAGACTACGTTCAGTTCACCTGCTTCACTGGTGTGTCAGTGAAGGCATAGGTCTAATTAATGTTTCCTGATCAACCCTGTTCAAAGTGCAGATTCCATGTCAGGGAAATACGTTTTATCGGTTCAACTTGGTGTCCTTATATATCTCTTGAGCATCGATATACTCTGCCTATGCATTGCCTTTCTATTCAAACTGAACTTAACTTGTCCCGCAATGAACAAGTTAAGAGCCAAAAAGACAAATTATAGTCCCAGTCAAGCAAACCGTTTTAAGACTGACGTGGAGACACCAAGGACACACTTTAATAGACCAACAGCAAATCCCTCTAGACCAGGTAGACCAGCTAGCCTGTGCAGAAAACTTTGAGATCGGCAACTGCAATCCCTCCTTGCTGGTATTCCTAGTCCTTGGCCAATGTAAAATACCAAAACCTTCTGCTATTATTTTGTATTTCACAGAATAATGGTTTCTTACGCACGCCGTCCCAGTTCAGTGTCCCCTATGTAGCTTCAGGAGCTATACCAGTAAGTATCTTCGGTCTATTAACCTTTAACCAAAAGCCAGGTGATAACTTATAAAATTAGAGCTAGGCACCTCTATTTTTAGCTAATGGATTCCCCGTAGAACAGAATTAGAAGCCATGACCATTTCAAGCAGGATATGGGACGGAGAGAACCCCTCCGCCTTTGTGTTGGTCATTGTTTGATTGGAATCTCAGGAATTTTTTACAGACTTCTAGGGGGGGGTGATGTGTTAGGTAACAATAGTCTAGAGTGTGTATAGGGATTGGACAGGTAAGGGGGGTACCCCTCCGTCCCATATCTTGCCTGGTATAGCCATGACTGCCGGGGTACCATTCTTGTGGACAGTTACATACCTGCATATAGACCTTTTTCACCCACGGGACTAAAAGTAAACAATGGACCGCCTTGGCAACGGTGATGGCATATATTCCTACGGGCAGCTTCAACCACGTGCAAACGCTGCATGCTCGGCTAGTTTGTCTTGAATAAGTAGATTGCCATCACAACACATCGCAGTCCAGCACGATCGTGACATCACAGGAAAAAGGCCTATATGCCTGTAATACCATACAGTGGGGTGTTGCAGCGTACCTAGCGCACACACCTTGCAAGCTAAAGTGTGCGGTAAGAGACGCCGTAAAAATTGAGATCCCTCAGCCCGCTTTTCAGCTATTATTCTTGGCCCACGCTCGAGCGAACACGGTGAAAGAAGGCAGACCCTGGCTCTTGTATATATGGTGATTGGCCTTTGTGTGTTGCCAAGAAATGAAAAGGCAGTATTTGCATCATAATCACCAGCTTCACAATAGTCCCCACTTTGAAAAGAGGCAACAGGAATGTGGAAGCGTAAGTAGAGCCGCATGCCACCGAACAATCGGCCTTTTCACCGTGTAATTCGAAGCGTGCAGAACACGCAAGGCCACAAACCAAGAATTTGCGGTTTTGCAGGTGGCCTTCACAGCCAAGCGAGGCTGGAATTCTCAGTCGGCTTTCAGAAAAAAGTCCCTGCGTCAAGGGGTTAAACATGCATGCATAAGTATGATGCCACTGTAAATAATAATAAGGAATCCACAGAGTCAACTGCTGCTCTGTTCCATCCTATTTTGCCGCCGAATTCCACAAACCAGATATGTATTGTTATGAAAAGCTCTATCTGCCTGATAGCTGACTGTTGTAAAATATCATTTCAATTTTTTTCTTTTTCCTTTTCTCCTAGCTCCACCGGCTGCGTGAGAGAAACGATGCGGATTACTACTAGATGAGGTCAGAGGTTCCTCTACGCTGTAGAGCNGCCTGACCTCTGAACAGTTCAGGAAACGAAATGTGCAGTACTGTTTATCATAACGATTTTTTATATCCACCGCATACCCCATGCGCTTTGATAGCTACTTGTATTTTAGATCAGAACAGTTTGAAATTAGGAAGGCCTTTTTGTTGAATTTCTGAAATTCAATAGCCAACCCTTTTTAAGTTCAAAGGGTCACTGCAATGCAATTGTTTTAATACAGACCTCAAAAGTGTATTGATGTGTCCCAGTTTACCTTATTTGGAATGTCTGTTTCACTATTTGAGGAATGTTTTGCTGCCAATTGGTTTTATGCTAATGTTTATTCATGTGAAAAATCCTGGGAAGAGAACCTTCATGTTGCAGCGGGTTGTGCTTGGAAAAACGGCTGAATTTTGAAAGATTTTGCTGGCCAAACTTTTTCTTTTGGCAATTCACTGTTCAGTAAGTGCATAGCACACGTGCACAGTGACCCTTTATGCAAAAATGTTTTCACTGAGTAAATTCTGGGCTCACAATTCGAACAGAAAATTCCCTGCACTGAACCATGTTTTCCCTGGATGACATCACAGCATATTTTTGTGCATATCACCAATAGTGCTTATTATAATTAGACTGATGCTATATATACAATCAGTTGAAGCAGTGGGTATATATTTTGATAGTATATATATATATATTTGTAATCATTCACAATTTAAATTGAATATGATTTGAAGCTTGCACGCTGTAATAATTACAAGAAGTACTGTTGTAGTATTTCAAAGTATTTTTTTCCAGCCTCCGTGTCAAAGACATGAGTTTATGCCACAACTAAGTACGAACAGTTATTCTTTTGCAAAGTGGGTTGTCAGCAAGGACCTTCCTCAGCTTCATACAGTAAACTTGAAGACAAGTGTTAATTTATGGTATAATAAAATTATAGAATTTCTGTAATTCCCATACCAGACCCAATATGCTTTTAATTGGCTTAGGGTGTTGAAAAAGTCTAAACTCTTGTCTCATCACTTACTGTTTTAACGTGCAGAGTTACAGGCATATACGACTGAAAGAAAAGGTATCCCAATAAACAAAAGGGTCATTCTATAAAGTAGGGGTCCCTGTCACATCTGGCATGATTTCATAAGTTCAGAACGCATTTTCTAACTTCCAAGATTGATGAATTAATGCACATAACCTGCCAAACAAATAGTAATACAATGTAGTTTGAAAATCCATTTCAGTAATATTTCCATGTTGAATAAAGGTCAGATGTAACAGGGAAACAAAAATGTCACACTGGTNACCTGACCTCTGAACAGTTCAGGAAATGAAATGTGCAGTACTGTTTATCATAACGATTTTTTATATCCACCGCATACCCCATGCGCTTTGATAGCTACTTGTATTTTAGTTCAGAACAGTTTGAAATTAGGAAGGCCTTTTTGTTGAATTTCTGAAATTCAATAACCAACCCTTTTTAAGTTCAAAGGGTCACTGCAATGCAATTGTTTTAATACAGACCTCAAAAGTGTATTGATGTGTCCCAGTTTACCTTATTTGGAATGTCTGTTTCACTATTTGAGGAATGTTTTGCTGCCAATTGGTTTTATGCTAATGTTTATTCATGTGAAAAATCCTGGGAAGAGAACCTTCATGTTGCAGCGGTTTGTGCTTGGAAAAACGGCTGAATTTTGAAAGATTTTGCTGGCCAAACTTTTTCTTTTGGCAATTCACTGTTCAGTAAGTGCATAGCACACGTGCATAGCGACCCTTTATGCGAAAATGTTTTCACTGAGTAAATTCTGGGCTCACAATTCGAACAGAAAATTCCCTGCACTGAACCATGTTTTCCCTGGATGACATCACAGCATATTTTTGTGCATATCACCAATAGTGCTTATTATAATTAGACTGATGCTATATATACAATCAGTTGAAGCAGTGGGTATATATTTTGATAGTATATATATTTGTAATCATTCACAATTTAATTTAAATTGAATCTGATTTGAAGCTTGCACGCTGTAATAATTACTGTTGTAGTATTTCAAAGTATTTTTTTCCAGCCTCCGTGTCAAAGACATGAGTTTATGCCACAACTAAGTACGAACAGTTATTCTTTTGGAAAGTGGGTTGTAAGCAAAGGACCTTCCTGAGCTTCATAGAGTAAACTTGAAGACAAGTGTTAATTTATGGTATTATAAAATTATAGAATTTCTGTAATTCCCATACCAGACCCAATATGCTTTTAATTGGCTTAGGGTGTTGAAAAAGTCTAAACTCTTGTCTCATCACTTACTGTTTTAACGTGCAGAGTTACAGGCATATACCACTGAAAAAAAGGTATCCCAATAAACAAAAGGGTCATTCTATAAAGTAGGGGTCCCTGTCACATCTGGCATGATTTCGTAAGTTCAGAACGCATTTTCTAACTTCCAAGATCGATGAATTAATGCACATAACCTGCCAAACAAATAGTAATACAATGTAGTTTGAAAATCCATTTCAGTAATATTTCCATGTTGAATAAAGGTCAGATGTAACAGGGAAACAAAACTATCACTCGTTT